GAGCATTTAGAAATAAAACCTTATCTTTATATAGGAATTCCTCGGCAAGAATTAGCAGCCCATATTTTGACTCTGATCCCTTTGATATTAGGAATGGTACTAGGCAGGGCTGCCCGCTAGCTCCACTCCTGTATATCCTTACAATCGAACCGCTGGCTATGATGATAAGACAGAATGAAAAGATAAAAGGAATAGATTTTCAAGAGGAACATATTAAAATATCTTTGTTTGCAGATGATGTCTTACTTACCCTTGTTGACCCCTTACTATCAATTCCACCGTTGTTAGAAGATATCTCTACATAAAGCAAACTTTCTAATTATAAGGTTAATATTAATAAATCTCAAGTGCTTCCATATTTATTGACCAAGGTACAGCTAGAAATTTTTATATATTATTTTCATATAGAATGTGTAAAAGATAAAATTGAATATTTAGGTATAAAGATAACATTTAATATTATAAAGACAATTCGGATAAATTTTGATAATCTATATAAAGATCTACAATCCCAGATACATAAATTGAAGAGATTAGAACCATCTTGGATAGGAAGAGTTAATATTACCAAATCGTATTTAATGCCAAAACTCCTATACTTTCTTAGGATGATTCCATACAATATTGAACGGGGCACCTTGAAGCGCTTTCAAAATTTATTTTCTAGCTATATATGGCGTGATAAACCACCCAGAATAGCGACGGAAATTTTATGTAGAAGTTACCGGAAAGGGGGCATAGCATTTCCCGATGTGATTAAGATGTATGAGGCAAACAGGGCCTCTCAACTTATGACATGGCTAAATTTGGACCAAAATATATCTAAATCTTGGATTAAAATTGAACAGAAATCAGAACCAGGGCAAAAGTTATATATCTTAGGATGGCTAGGACTCCTGAACCTGGGGGCTTTGGATATGGAACAGTTTCCTAATAAAATTATAGGAGATATGGTGGATTTTGCAAAATATTTGAATATTAAGTTGAAACTTAAAGGAAAATTATTGTTTAATACACCTATAGAAATACTTCAATATGCTATGTCAGATATAAATATTAAAACTTGGATTCATTTTGGCATTAAAAAAATTGGAAATCTATATGAGGGATCTAAACTGGCGACATATACACAACTACAATCAAAATACAAGTTTTTATCTAGTGAAATATTCCAATACCTAAGGATCAAGAATTTCCTCTTAACTAAAATATTGATTAAAGATCACTATCTTGAACCTTATATTATATGTAGTCAAAAAAAGGGAGGAATCTCTAGATTTAATAAATTGTTTGATACATTAGATAATGTTGTCGATGTGCCTCCATTTGGTAAGTGGGAGAGGGATATGGGGAAATCCCTCCCACTTAAAGAATGGACAAATGCTACAATGTTAGTAAAACAAAGTATACACAATATATCCTTACTTGAAACGCACTTAAAGATTATCTACAGGTGGTATATGGTCCCGGTTACACTTCATAAAATATCTCCATCTTATTCAAAAGAATGTTGGAGATGTAGAAGAGAAGAGGGCACTATGCTACATATATGGTGGGCCTGTACGGGCCTGAATAACATCAAAATTCAAATGTTAGACTTAATGAAAAGTATTTTTAGGGAGGTAGTAATTAGCCCTGAAATGTTTCTGTTCAATATGGACTATAAAACAAATGATAAACAACAAAAATATATTATGACACATATATTCCTGGCAATAAAAATTAATATCGCCAGAGCATGGAAATCTCCTAACCCACCACACTGGCAAGAAATAATGGAGCAAATAAGGTTTCAATATAAGATGGAATCTCTAACCAAAGATTTGAAAGAGCTTTGGTTACCTTGGACTTCCAAATTCCCTATATAACATATAATAACGAGCTGTAAGTTTGAGGCCCATCCCTTATCGAGTCTCATATAAATGTGTTTTTGTTTTTTGTTTTTGCTATATGTATGTTTTGTTGTTGTGAACAATATATAATGTTAATGCTATAATGCTATGGATGATTAAATGAATATATATGATTGTAGTAATATTAAGGATGTAATATTGATATTTGTAAAATCAGTATAATAATTGCTTATTTGATATTTATAAAAGGAAGGAAAAATATTGATAAATAAAATAAATATTAAAAAAAACATATCCCCAGATAGCTTAGATCTGAGTGCACATTATTACTGAATGGCGCTCAGATCACATACATACAGTTCATTTGCCATGGAGCCAAAGTCTTTCACATAGTCTTTCGTTATACGAATGGGCTCCATGGCATCTGGGGTATCACTGTTCAAATAGGGCAAGTACCGAATGACCCGGCTTTCGTGTCTTTGCATGGGAAAATCAAGCGTTTCAACATGGGGCCATAGTTCAGATGGAGCAGGCGAGCAACCCGGCTCCTCCAATTCCCAGTGGCGGGGTTGGTACCGTCACAGTGTACATAGAACAATATCGGACCTCTGAAAAGTATAAGCATGCATATGGACTCAGTACTTGGTTTGGGCCCCTTTTGCAGCAATTACTGCCTCAATGCGGCGTGGCATGGAAGTTATCAGCCTGTGGCACTGCTGAGGTGTTATGGAAGACCAGGATGCTTCAATAGTGGCCTTCAGCTATTCTGCATTGTTCAGTCTCATGTCTCTCATCTTTCTCTTGGCAATGACCCATAGATTCTCTATGGGGTTTGGGTCAAGCGAGTTTGCTGGCCAATCAAGCACAGTAATCCCATGGTCATTGAACCAGGCTTTGGTGCTTTTGGCAGTGTGGGCAGGTGCCAAGTCCTGCTGGAAAATGAAGGCAGCATCCCCATAAATCTTGTCTGTGGAAAGAAGTATGAGGTGCTCCAAAATCTCCTGGTAGATGGCTGCGTTGACCCTTGACTTAATGAAGCACACTGTACCAACACCAGCAGATGACATGGCTCCCCAAATCAGCACAGACTGTGGAAACTTCACACGGGTCTTCAAGCATCTTGCAGTGTGTGCCTCTCCATTCTTCCTCCATACTATGGGTCCTTGGTTTCCAAATGAGATGCAAAAGTTGCTCTCCTCAGAAAAGAGGCCTTTGGACCACTGAGCAACAGATCAGGTCTGTTTTTCTTTAGCCCAGGTAAGACGCTTTTGACGTTGTTTGTTGTTCAGGAGAGGCTTGACAAGAGGAATATGACATCTGGAGCCCATGCCCGTCTGTGTGTGGTGGCTCTTGATGCACTGACTCCAGCCTCAGTACACTCCTTGTGAAAGTCCCCAACACTTTTGAATGGCCTTTTTCTGACAATCCTCTCCAGGCTGTGGTCATCCCTGCTGCTTGAAGCACTTTAGCTTTCTGACAAGAGAGCTGCGGTTTTTGCAAATTCCTTTAAGATATACCAATAAAAAAAACTAATATGTAATAAAATGTATGACTAGTTTCATTGGGAGTATATTTATTTATTTTTTATTATGAGCAGTGGATTGTCCCTTTAAGACAGCTGTCACTAGTGAGAATTTTGCACAAACTAGTACATAGCTAAAAATTAGTTATGGTTTATGCATTAATTTTTCTTCATGTCTCAGTAGTCTTAGTAAATTGGGCATGGCATGTAAGCTGAATTAAGGGTTGCTCTAGCCTCCATGACCACTTCTGCTTTTTGAAGTGGTCATGGAGCAAGCAGTCTACTCCTCTTTCCTCCATAGCTCAGAGCGAGAAAGTGTGAGAGACAAAGCGCGAGACAGACAGAGTAAGCAAGTGTGTAGGGAAGAAACAGTGAGAGAGCAATAGACTGTGTGGGGGAGAAAACGTGAGAGAGTGATAGTGTGCGGGGTAGAAAGCGTGAGAGAGTGATAGTGTGCGGGGTAGAAAGCGTGAGAGAGTGATAGTGTGCGGGGTAGAAAGCGTGAGACAGTGATAGTGTGCGGAGTAGAAAATGTGAGTGAGTGGTAGTGTGCAGGGTAGAAAACGTGAGAGAGTGATAGTGTGCGGGGTAGAAAGCGTGAGAGAGTGATAGTGTGCGGGGTAGAAAGCGTGAGAGAGTGATAGTGTGCGGGGTAGAAAGCGTGAGAGAGTGATAGTGTGCGGAGTAGAAAACGTGAGAGAGTGATAGTGTGCAGGGTAGAAAACGTGAGAGAGTGATAGTGTGCAGGGTAGAAAACGTGAGAGAGTGATAGTGTGTGGGGGAGAAAACATGAGAGAGCGACAGAGTGAGCTTAACAGAATGACACAGTACAAGTGTAACTATACATAAGAGAGGACGAGCATAAGGGAGTGGGAGAAAGGGACACGCAGAGAGTGAGTGAATGGTTAAACTGACACTGTCACCATCTGGGGACTTTGCTGAATTCACAAAGACCCTTGACGCCGATATTGCCTCTGGGAGGTCCGGTGGCAGGGAAAGGTGAGATTTACTTAATTGAACCTGTCCCTTGCAGACACTGCCATCTGCTCCAGCGGGTCCTCCTCAACTCCTGGCGCTGCAAACTCTACCCTGAGTCTGAAATATCCAGGAGAGAAAAATTACAGAGACAAGGTAGTCCCTACTTTCTTTGTATATCTCTTAAATGTGTCACAGTCAAAATGAGTATTTCATAAGGATTCTCCCTTTATGAAATATCCATCAATATCCATTTTTAAGGGGGGGGGGGGGATGTTGACAATGAGGCTTTTAGAAAGAAAATGTGTGGGAACAGAGAGGCAGAGGTAGGGAGTGAGTGAGTGTGTGATAGAGATTGAGGGACACAGAGAGTGTGTGATTCACAGGTCATGAGACAGAGTGAGGGGGTGATTGTGAGAGAGAAACAGAGAGTGATTGATAGAGTGTCTGCTTATGTTCCCCAGCATACCAGCTCCCCAGGATTTAATGTACATTTGAACCTCCCCACTGGCTGCTTCCTACTCTCTGTATCATGTGACCTGGGCAGTCACGTGGCTCCTGTGCTATCACATGTCCTTTAGCTGCACAGGAACCAGATCCACCGAATCTTTTATTGCCCGATTGATTCTCTCTTTTTATATTCACGTGGTATGAGTGAATTCGCCCCGTCTGCGTTGGGGACCAAAGAACAGTGAGTCTCTGTGGCCGCCGCCATGTTGGTATACCCGGAAGCAGCCCTGCACGTGTAGACTGGATGTACATTTAGAATGCAATGTAGTGAGGGCTTGTGTGACCTAGTAGAGTGTATTTATCAGAAATGTTACCACACAAATTACTTTAATCCAATCAAAACAGCTTGTAAAACGGAAACTTTCCTTGACCTCTTCAGAAAACAAAGTACTAGTGAAAACCACTGATAGGCACCAACATATATGATCACATAGGTCTCACCTGTGACTTAATCACATTTTAGGTAGCATGCCTTTTACTGTATGTTGGGTTATTTACATGTTGTACCTCTCTGTGAAGCATTTTATTGTATAAATAATACTGTGGTGTTTAGGCAGGTTTAATTACTAAAGTGAAAATGTAAAGTTTAAGATCAAAATGGACTGACTAAAAAGTCTCTTAGCTATGGTTTCAGTTTGGCTTAACCCCTTAAGGACCACACTTCTGGAATAAAAGGCAACCGTGACATGTCATGTGCCCTTAAAGGACCACTATAGGCACCCAGACCACTTCAGCTTAATGAAGTGGTCTGGGTGCCAGGTCCATCTAGGATTAACCCTTTCTGCTGTAAACATAGCAGTTTCAGAGAAACTTCTATGTTTACCTATGGGTTAATGTGATTTTCACAGTGAGAAGACACCAGTGTCCATAGGAAAGCATTGAGAATGCTTTCCTATAGACTGGCTGAATTTGCGTGCGGCTCTTGCCGGGCATGTGCATTCAGCCGATGACGGAGAAAAGGAGAGGAGTGTTCCCCGCGCCGAGGGAGCCCGGCGAGGGAAAACAGGTAAGATTTAACCCCTTCCACCCCCTTGAGCCTGGCGGGAGGGGGACCTAGAGACCGTATAGTGCCAGGAAAACTATTGTTTTCCTGGCACTATAGTGGTCCTTTAAAGGGGTTAAATTTGAAGTTCACTTTGCGTTCTCATTTCAGTAAATAACCCTGTTTGAGTAAATCCAGTATATGTTAAAGATTACAATGGCTGGACAGCAGCTGAATGTTGGATCCTCATTTTTCATTATCTCCTATTAACTTGTAAACTATACTCATGCATGACTAATAATATATGCATGAAAAAGAAACCAAAAAATATAAATACATAAATAAGAAGTAAAAGGGAGAGCTAACAAAGGACACCCATTATATTACCAACCATTTTAATCACATGTGATGCCAGAGGGGAGATTCAGTCTCCCTAAGTACATACTTGGGCATCTGTCCCTTTTTTTTTTTTAAATAATTTTTTTTTTTTTGTACGTCTGCAGCTGGGATGCAGTTTACAGCCGAGAACTTAAGTCATTCCAAGACTTTGGTGATGAGGGAGAGATATGGTAAGTGATTGAAAGATGAAACTATTAATTGGTAATGAGATATATAATCGATGAGGTATTGTCAATTGAGATACAGTATCTCACAAAAGTGAGTACACCCTCACATTTTTGTAAATATTTTATTATATCTTTTCATGTGACAACACTGAAGAAATTACACTCTGCTACAATGTAAAGTACAAAGTCTACAGCCTGTATAACAGTGTAAATTTGCTGTCCCCTCAAAATAACTCCACACACAGCCATTAATGTCTAAACCGTTGGCAGCAAAAGTGAAAATGTCCAAATTGGGCATTTCCAAATTGTCAATATTTTGTGTGGCCACCATTATTTTCCAGAACTGCCTTAACTGTCATGGGCATGGAGTTCACCAACGCTTCACAGGTTGCCACTGGAGTCCTAATCCATGATGACATCACACAGCTGGTGGATGTTAGAGACCTTGCGCTCCCCCATCTTCCGTTTCAGGATGCCCCACAGATGCTTAATAGGGTTTAGGTCTGGAGACATGCTTGGCCAGTCCATCACCTTTACCTTCAGCTTCTTTAGAAAGATAGTGGTCGCCTTGGAGGTGTGTTTGGGGTCGTTATCATGTTGAAATACTGCCCTGGGGCCCAGTCTCCGAAGGGAGGGGATCATGCTCTGCTTCAGTACAGTTCCCTCAATGAACTGTAGCTCCCCAGTGCCGACAGCACTCATTCAGGCCCACACAATGACACTCTCACCACCATACTTGATTGTAGGCAAGACACACTTGTCTTTGTACTCCTCACCTGGTTGCCGCCAAACACGCTTGACACCATCTGAACCAAATAAGTTTATTTTAGTCTCATCGGACCACAGGACATGGTTCCAGTAATCCATGTCCTTAGTCTGCTTGTCTTCAGCAAACTGTTTTCAGGATTTCTTGTGCATCATCTTTAGAAGAAGCTTCCTTCTGGGAAGACAGCCATGCAGATCAATTTGATGCAGTGTGCGGCGTATGATCTGAGCACTGACAGACTGACCCCACCACCCCTTTAACCTCTGCAGCAATGCTGGCAGCACTCATATATGTTTATTTCCCCAAAACATTTTCTGGATATGACGCTGAGCACGTGCACTCCTTCTTTGGTCGACCATGGCGAGGCCTGTTCTGAGTGGAACCTGTCCTGTTAAACCGCTGTGTGGTCTTGCCCATCGTGCTGCAGCTCAGTTTCAGGGTCTTGGCAATCTTCTTATAGCCTAGGCTATCTTTATGTAGAGCAACAATTCTTTTTTTCAGATCCTCTGAGAGTTCTTTGCCATGAGGTGCCACGTTGAACTTCCAGTGACCAGTATGAGAGAGTGTGAGAGTAATAACACCAAATTTAACACACCTGCTCCCCATTCTCACCTGAGACCTTGTAACACTAACGAGTCACATGACACCGGGGAGGGAAAATGGCTAATTGGGCCATTTCCACTTAGGGGTGTACTCACTTTTGTTGCCAACGGTTTAGACATTAATGGTTGTGAGTTGAGTTATTTTGAGGGGACAGCACTGTTATACAGACTGCACACTTACTACTTTACATTGTAGCAGTGTGTCATTTCTTCAGTGTTGTCACATGAAAAGATATAATGTGAGGAGTGTAATCACTTTTGTGCGATACTGTATGTGTGTGTGTGTATATATAATATATATATATATATATATATATATATATATATATGTATGTATACTACAGCATGTTTGTATAGTTTTGTATTAAAGGGCAAATGTAAATTTATGAAAACTAGAATTAAGGGGCAGTCTTTTTATAAAAAATTTTATTTCAAATATTTTGTTTTGTGAGGGAAGGGTATAGAAAACAAGAAACATAGGGTAATAATGTGAAACAGGTACAGTGCACAATATACAAGTTGTTTAGTTGTTGCTTTCATACGGTTTAAACAAGTGTGCAGAATTTATTTCAGCAATCTAAACGCAGTTTAACATGTTTACTTTTTTTTTGTATAAATTATTTAGTTGTGAAGTTGTCTTTTATTCAATATTAGTGGGGGTGGGGGTACAGAAAGAAGGCATAAAGGGGTAACATCGTATACAACGTTTGACATAAGGCAGCAGTGCTTGTACAAATTTCAATCAGAACCGGTAATTTGTAAGATTAATTTTCATTTATAACCCATGTATTTGTGTCTGTGATGGCATCACAGTAGTCTTTAGTGCCTCAGTGTGTACATGGTAGGTTGTCACTGTGGTGTGGTAGGGGAAGGAGTATAGTTGCGCCCTGTTTCCTCCTGGTAGGCCTTATTGTGCAAGCCCAGGGGGTGACCGGATCTCCCCTCCTGCCTGCGTTGCGTATAAAACATTTACTGGGTCCTCGCCTATGTCGTGGAGGAGTTTGCGTCTTTGAAGTAGGTTTGGGTGTGATGCATGCATCCAGTGGAGCAGTGGAGGGGTATTGTAAAATTGTCGGGGATAAAGGGACAGTCTAATCACCATAACCACACACTGTAGTGATTATTATACCAGGAATCCCCGGATGCTGTCATACTGGTAACAGTCAAGCAGGTGTTTGATGGTTTGTCACTAACCTGGGTACTCTGCGTGGCTGCAGTCCAGCCTCCTCTTCAGATATATCTAAAGTGAAAGTTCCTACTTCTCCATTAGATATATCACTATTATCCATATTTAAAATTGATATAACAGGTAATTAACATCACTAGTGTGGAAGTATCAACTTCCGTTTTAGCGATATTTAAAGAGGAGGCTGGACCAAGGGTGCTTGGGGGCATCAAGTAAGTGTCAAGCCATTCAAAAACAGTTTGACTCTTACTTGGGGGGCAGTGTCAGGGGCCACACTGAAGTGGTTATGGTGCCTTGACTTACCCTTCTAAGAATTGTTCACTGATAGAATGTTATAACTAAATTTACAATGTAACTATTTTATCGATTTACTGAGTGTATACATGACAAGATGGTTGATATTTCTTCCTTTCTGACAGGTTTGGGGAAGGTAGCATGGCACGAGTGGTTCGCTGGCTGAAAGCACAGAGCATACCACCTACTACCTCAATACTTGACATTGGCACTGGGAACGGCATTTTGCTTGTAGAACTGGTAAGGATGTACAAGATTTTTAGGATGAAGTAAAGTACTGTTTAAGTAGCTCGAAAGGATCCTGTCCTTGCTGATTCTGACACATTTTATCGTTTGTTCAGGGGTGTAACTCCACCTCAGATTCCTGTCAATCATATAGTTAGAAACATTTATCCAAGTTTTGCATGTGACATCTGTAAGCCATATGCACAACTTGGGCTCTTTCTCATCCCAGGAGAGAGAGTTGAGCCAGCTAGCTGAGACCAATAGCGGCATACATCATGGTTTAATAAACAGATAAATATGCTGTGCCAAAGTTTATGGAATAAGAGTTTCTTCCTGTTACTTGAGGGATCTTCCTGCAGGTGCAATCAGTCCCAATAAACAGTGCACCCAGTGAAACTTTAAAGGTGAGTAGCTTCTTTGATTTTTATTTTTATTCAATACATTAATTTTGCAGTGCATTAAAAATAGTGGTATTTTTTAATTCGTGGTATCATTGCCTTTAACCTTAACTTCACAGTCTAATTAATACATTCTGCATTTTATGTTCACTTTACAGGCAAAATGTGGATATAGCAATCTCACAGGTATAGATTACTGCATGAATGCTGTTGAGCTCGCGAGAAGCATATGTGAAAAGGAAGGTGTGTCTCAAAATGTACATTTAGAGGTGAGGAACAATAAAGAATTGGCCTGATGTACTCTAACGCATGTTTTCTTCTATATTTCTAGTAGGCCACAATTATTATTTGGGGTATGTGCATTATATTGATGTATACCTGCAGGGATGGGTTCGCAAAGAGTACCTGCAGAAGAGTAAACAGAAAAAAATGTTACTGGTAAAGTGAGACTGGAAAGCATTGTATAAAATAACTGTGTAACATCTGGTCCATGACGTCTGAATAGCCTCAATAAAAATGTAAACACGTTCCTCTGTTCCCAAACTGCGGATATGCCAGTGTACCTTTTCTTTCTAAGAGGACCTGCACACAGCATTTACTCTTATGTTTTTAATGTTTCAATGGGCAAGTACATATCTGTGGGCAATAGTTAAGTGTCTGCTGCAAAAACAGCCAGAAAAAAAATATAATGTAAATAGTAATGTAATTCGGGTTCCCTTTAGGTCCAGCCAGTTAGACTCATGTTCCACACATTTCTTCATTTTCATTCAGGGGTTACTCAAAAACCATGACCACTTCAGTGATTTGAGTTGTACCCCTGTTGTACTTATGTCTAGAACTCTGTTCCGGGCTACCTAGTGTCAATTCTGTGCATAATAATCTTTTCTGCTCTGTGCATAAAATTCTTCTCCGTTACTCTGCCTGCGAGGGAAAAGTAGCTATCCCCTCCTTCTGCTGTACATATAGGTTTTTTGTTTATTTTTTAATAACCCTCCCTTCCCTCATAGGGTCAAGTGGCAAAATGGTCCAATAACAGGATTTTCTATGTTGGGCTTCTCTAATATTGCATATTCAGTACCTGCTTCTAGAGGGTCCCAAATATTCCTGTCCTGACATATGTATGCCAGGGAATGAGGGATAGCTGATTGATTGACTTTACGGCTCCCTGCCTGCTGCAGTTCTGAATAGTAATTGTAACAGGATAATAGTCTTAATAAAATACACTTTTTAATTTTATTTTGTTCAATGATAATTGGCTGCATATCAGCATATATCTATCCTTTGTGGATTCAGCCTAATATTCTGAAAAATTATTTCTGGTTCGTGAAATATTAATCAAAATATTAATGAATGTAAGGTGCACACTCTATATCTTAAGTGTGATTCTGATTTTAAGCACATTTAAATAATATTATTGCAGAGACCACAAAAACATCGAAAAATCCAAATGCAGTAGCACTAACTATTGCTCAGAAAAAGCTATATGTAATTGCTCCAGCTTATATGAAATTAGCTTAAAAAGAAAAACATAAAAATGTATTGCAAAATCCACGCTCTTAGTGACATCCACATACAGTGCCCATCAAATTCCCATTTGTTTTATTTTTAGGTAACAGACTTCCTAGTAGCATTCCATCCTTCAGAAAGGTTTGACATTTGCCTGGATAAAGGAACATTTGATGCAGTGAGTCTCGACCCTAGTGGAGCAGAAGAGAAGCGCAGGTTGTATATAGAGTCACTGTGCCATGTTCTAAAACCACAAGGACTCTTTATCATCACATCCTGTAACTGGACCAGAGATGAACTGTTAAATCAGTTTGGTGATGGTAAGAGGCATCTTTGGTTTCTTGTCTGTTTACTTGCAGGTGTTGGAATGGACCTTAAAGGAACACTACAGGGAAAGGAACACAAACATGTATTCCTGACCCTATAATGTTTAAACCACCATCTAGCCCCCTACCCCTTAAATATAGAAAAATCCTACGTTTATGTCAGTCTGCTGCTGCTGGCTCTGCCCATGATCTGCCTGCTTGGCTGACATCATCAGAAGTGGTGATCTGAGCCAATCACAATTATTTCTCATAGGAAAGCATTTAATTGGTTGAGACTGCCAAGGAGGCAGATCAGGGGCAGAGCCAGCACATGTCAAACACAGCCCTGGCCAATCAGCATCTCCTTATAGAGATGAATTGAATTAATGTATCTCTAAGAGGAAAGTTCAGTGTCTGCATGCAGAGGGCGGAGACACTGAATGGCAGTGCTGCACAATATGCAGCACTGTCCCAGGAAGCACCTATAGTAGCCATCTGAGGAGTGGCCAGTGGAGGTGTCCCCAGGCTGTAATGTAAACACTGCATTTTTTCTGAAAGTGTTTACAGCAAAAAGCCTGAAGGTAATGATTCTACTCACCAGAACTAATACAATAAACTGTAGTTGTTCTGGTGACTATAGTGTCTCTTTAAAGCCTTACCTTTGTAATCGTATAAATAACCCTTTTAAAAGAGACAATGTGAATGCGCACTATTGGCGTCTCCCTGCTGAGGACAGACATAGAAATAAAACAATACTGAGTGACAGATTAACTTGGATTTTGGTTAATGAATTACTTCTCTTTCTTTGAATGTTACATAATATAGTAATTAGGAGGTGTTACATTAACACAGAGAGCTAGGTGAGAGGTGTACACTCCAGTGTACTATTACAATGCTGATCCAATAAAAATGTCATAGAGTACAAGTTCTGTTGATTTGCAAACAAAACTTTTAAATTACTGTGGTTACAACACATTGTTATTGCAGAAACTGCTTGTAATTTGTTTATTTAATAGCACAACAGATTTGTAAATATTAGACCAGTTACTGATTTTTATTTTTTTCTTGTGAATCTGTGTTTTATTTTTTTGAAAACGTACATAGAGAAAAGTATACAAGAGAAAGCGCGGAGGCTTCTCCATATAAAGCTGAAGGATCATAACATGTAGCTCTATGTTTGAACGCACAACATTCATTTACATCATAAGTTGGATTTAGTCCCATTTCATCAACCCCTTTTACACATTACACTTTACAGAAAATGATATATTCTTATTCACTTACATATTCTGATCTTACCTTCCAGTTCTACACATAAAACAAATCATATTTTGTGTATCCAAATCATAATCTTTGATAAAATATTTTAGGAGCCTGGGAATGAATTAAGAAAATAAACAATCCAAAAAAAACATTGACGTCTCAGCAAAATCAGAGTGCAACAAAGAATGCTTTAGGATAAAATGCTCATGTCATAATCTATTTCTCCACTTAATAATTTATGGCCCCTTAAAAGGAGTCCATTATCGGTGTTCTGCAGAATCTTTTTTTGCTCTCTGACTTTAATCTGGGCATGCTACCGCTGTACCGCTCCTATGATTCTGGGAGGAAATGGAATTGCATGTAATCGATTTCTTGGGTCATATTTATAGTTTTTTACATCGATACAGACAGAATAAAGGTAAAAGCTATAAAACAGAATATGGGAATCCATTTAGTCTATGAAATTGCTAATAGTTTGGGTAGGACAGTATATCGATTGTATTCTCTATAAACTCCTCACACCTTTACATTATCTTTACAGAACAGTATAGACTGGAATCCTGCAGTGCATTTTCAAAGTGTGTTGCTTCAGTTTCTCATTGTTACTGTTTTAATCAATATAATGTGTTGTTTTTGTTTGTTTTTTATACAGAATTTGAAATCACTGATGAGTTGCCCACACCTACATTTAATTTTGGAGGCCAGTCTGGTAAAAGCGTTACTGCGTTAGTGTTTAAAAAGAAAAGTGACTCATGAACAGAAGAACATGATAGCCTTTTGTATACACAGTCAGACTTTAAACATATATGTATATATTTATTATAATAAATCTATGCTCCTTGCGTATTGTCGTAGAATTACCTTTGTGTTTTCATGAACCTTTCATAGTGCATTTAGTGATATAATAATGGAGTCTTATTCATTCATTACTAGCTTCTTTTTTTTGGGGGGGGAGGGTTGTGAAATACCTGTTTATCATGGAGAGAGAAAAAAAAGGTTGTTTGCGGCAATCCACTAAGACAGTGGTTCCCAAACCAGTCCAGGTTTTGTCAGTTTCTCCATTGGAATAAAACAGGGAAATACATAAATACTGGATTGTTGGTGGCCATGCGGACTGGCTTGGGAACCACTGCAGCAAGGTATCTGGGTCCGTCTGTTGATTTATATATTATCAGAGCAAGCCCTGCTTATGTGGGTTTGAAAACTGTAAGTGAAATTAAAACCAAATAGAGAAAACACTGGGGTGAGAGGTTAATGCTGATGGGATCCCTGTGTTCTAGGTGTGTTTTGGTAAGGGAGTGATGCACCTGCCCAATCAGATCCACTAACACAATGCACTGTCTCAGTTTGAATAATGCTGGGATATAACATCTCAAAAGGCCATCTCGGCTGAAAGAGCAGAGATTGAAATGGCAAATGCTGAGATCTCACAGTCTGACTTGTCAGGGATGACCTACACTCAATTCAACAAAAGCAGGGTTTTAAGTGGTAAACAGAAAAAAAAGTAGACAGCACTGGATACATGATTAAAAGCCTTTTCATTTAAAGCCCATAGATATTGCAATTGTATGATACTTTACAACAGCATTTAATTTAAAAAAATATATATTTTTTTGTGCAATTGAGTAACAGACATTCTTGCAATGCCCCGACAGCAATGGCAAGACTATTAACTTGACATGGTATAACAGTTACAAAGCATTCGATTGGACTGCACAATTTTTGAGTGGTATAAGGTACAGGCTAGGCAGAACATGTCTAGAGTAGAGATTGAGAGAAAGCATCTAATTATGCAATCAATTTCATAGGCATGTAAACAGAGATATTAGGATAGGTTGTGAGCATTTTTTCTTTTTTAAAGAGTATAGTCAAATTCTGAATCTTATGCCACATCTTATGTATGAACTTCAATTTTGACTTATTCCAAAGGTGTACGAATGTGCTGCAATGGTATTTACGAAAGCAAGTTTGTTTAGTACCCCTTTCTTGGCTACCAAACATGTTAGTTTTAAGACAATCGAAAAAAGAAAAGCTGTGTAATACACTAGAAATAATTCAAAAGTATCTATAACACAGACCGCCATATCCATTCATTAGATGGTTATTGCTTGTGCTTAGACTCAGTTTAAATAATTGTATGAGTAAAATGTGATGTTATATCAGAAGGCAGCATCTATACATATCAAAAGGCAGACAGCAAGAAATATTGTACATCGTAAAAAGATTATATGTGTAACATATTGGGTTTATTTTCCCTAGAAGGATGTTAGTCGTTTAGTACAGGTGTGGCCAATTAGTTTTCATTAATGTACTTGCCCAATAGGGAATTACAAATTACTGTCCTCATTGGCTGTAGATGTACAGCTGCTTTGTATGACCTCAATGACTTTGTTGGCGAGATGCAAATTATTCCTTAATGAGGGCAGAGATAGATAATATATTCAGATTTAAAGATAATATATTGAGATATAAAGTATCTCACAAAAGTGAGTACACCCCTCACATTTTTGTAAATATTTTATTATATCTTTTCATGTGACAAAACTGAAGATATGACACTCTACTACAATGTGTAAGTGTAAATTTGCTGTCCCCTCAAAATAACTCAACACACAGCCATTGATGTCTAAACCGTTGGCAACAAAAGTGAGTACACCCCTAAGTGAAAATGTCCAAATTGGGCCCAATTAGCCATTTTCCCTCCCTGGTGTCATCAGGGCCGGACTGGCCCACCGGGATACCGGGAAATTTCCCGGTGGGCCGTCGGCACCTGGGGCCGGGCAGACACCTGACGTCATATTCCGGCCCCGGTCTCATTCAGCAGCGCGCGAGGGCGGGAGAGCAGAGCCAGCGTAGCTCTCCCAGCTATTCCGGCCCCGGTCTCATTCAGCAGCGCGCAAGGGCGAGAGAGCAGAGCCAGCGCAGCTCTGCCAGCGGCCGCCAGAAGACCTCCCCCTGGCTGGTATTAGTAATGTGTGTGTGTGTGTGTGTGTGTGTCTGTCTGTATGGTGTGGGTATGTGTGTCTGTCTGTCTGGTGTGGGTATGTGTGTCTGTCTGGTGTGTGTCTGTCTGTCCGTCATGGTGTGTCTGTGTCATGGTGTGTGTGTCAGTCCGTCATGGGATGTGTGTCTGTCTGTGTCATGGTTCTGTCTGTATAGTGTGTCTGTCCGTCATGGGGTGTGTGTCTGTCCGCCATGGGGGGGGGTGTGTGTGTCTTTCCATCATGGGATGTGTGTGTGTCTTTCCGTCATGGGGTGTGTGTGAGTCTGTCTGTGCCATGGTGTGTGGGTCTGTCTGTGTCATAGTCTGTCTGTGTCATGTTCTGTCATGGTGTGTGTGTGTGTCTGTCATGGGGTGTGTATCTGTCATGGTATATGTGTGTTTCTGTGTCTGTCATGGTGTATATGTGTGTTTAAAAATAGTGTTTTTGCTCACCTTTTTTTTCCCCACGCAGCATGCTGGTCTCCCCTCGACTGGCCCTGCCTCTATAGCTGAGATCATCAAGCTTGATAATCTCAGCCAATCCAATGCTTTGCCATAGGATTGGCTGCAAAACGCCACTCCAAATCAGCATCTCCTCATAGAGATGCATTGAATCAATGTATCTCTATGGGGAACATTCAGCACCTACAGAGTGTGGAGGCCCTGAATGTAGGTGCACTGACACAGGATGTACCTCTAGTGACCGTCTGAGTGACTGTCACTAGCATTGTCACTTTGAAGCAATGTAAACACTGCCTTTTCACTGAGCCTGTAGGGACATGCTATAGACACCAGTACCACTAAATTAAGCTTTGTGTGTGCATCTGCTAGTGAGTGAGCTTGCTTGAATGCGTGTGCCTGCTAGTGAGTGAGCGAGCTTGTGCTTTTATGTCAATGAGCTGATGTATATCAGTGAGATTGTTTGTCTATGAGGCTGTGTATCAATGAGCTTGTGTGTGTCATTGAGATGTCAGTGAAATTGCCTGTGTCTGCATGTGAGTATGCTTACTGTATAATTAAACGTTTTACCCTGAAAGGACCAATATTTTATATTAGAAAAAGCAATATATATATATATATATATATATATAATATTACTCAATCATCTGTCATGGCAAGACATAGCCTTACATATTACACGCGACAATATATGGCGCAGTGATTTATGGGGCTGGCACCAAATTTTTTTTTTCAGGGCTGCTTTGTATCCCCAGTCCGGCCCTGGACACACTGTATTATAGAGAGACACACTATATTATATAGAGACACACTGTATTATAGAGACACACACACTGTATTATAGAGACACACTGTATTATAGAGAGACACACACAGTGTATTATAGAGACACACACACTGTATTATAGACACACACTGTATTATAGAGAGAGACACACACTGTATTATAGAGAGAGAGACACACTGTATTATAGAGAGACACACACTGTATTATAGAGAGACACACACTGTATTATAGAGAGAGACACACTGTATTATAGAGAGACACACACTGTATTATAGAGAGAGAGACACTGTATTATAGAGACACACACTGTATTATAGAGACACACACTGTATTATAGAGAGACACTGTATTATAGAGACAGAGACACACTTTATTATAGAGAGAGAGACACACTGTATTATAGAGAGACACTGTATTATAGAGAGACACACACTGTATTATAGAGAGACACACTGTATTATAGACACACACTGTATTATAGAGAGAGACACACTGTATTATAGAGAGAGACACACTGTATTATAGAGACACACACTGTATTATAGAGACACACTGTATTATAGAGAGACACACACTGTATTATAGAGAGACACTGTATTATAGAAACAGAGACACACTGTATTATAGAGAGAGAGACACACTGTATTATAGAGAGACACTGTATTATAGAGACACACACTGTATTATAGAGACACACACTGTATTATAGAGAGACACACACAGTGTATTATAGAGACACACACACTGTATTATAGACACACACTGTATTATAGAGAGAGACACACACTGTATTATAGAAAGAGAGACACACTGTATTATAGAGAGAGACACTGTATTATAGAGAGAGACACACTGTATTATAGAGAGACACACACTATTATAGAGAGAGACACACTGTATTATAGAGACACACACTGTATTATAGAGAGACACTGTATTATAGAGACAGAGACACACTGTATTATAGAGAGAGAGACACGCTGTATTATAGAGAGACACTGTATTATAGAGAGACACACTGTATTATAGACACACACTGTATTATAGAGAGAGACACACTGTATTATAGACACACACTGTATTATAGAGAGAGACACACTGTATTATAGAGACACACTGTATTATAGAGAGACACACACTGTATTATAGAGACACACTGTATTATAGAGAGACACACACTGTATTATAGACACACACTGTATTATAGAGAGAGACACACTGTATTATAGAGAGACACACTGTATTATAGAGAGAGACACACTGTATTATAGACACAAAAACAAATATGAATACCGCACTCAAAAAAGATAATTCTTGTGAAATCTAAACTGTATTGAATTGCAAGAATATTTATTATAATAGTAATTCATAGGTTAATCAAGTAAACCTTAGTGAAGTTCATTCCAATCATATATATACATCGATTATTTACATATATACACACAAAAAACCTCCCTGTGCTGAATTTCATGAACTATATATCTATATACATAGGTTGTGGATCCAAAAAATATATGAAAATAAAAT